TTTCCAATAAATCAAAACCAACTTTGCCAAAAATGGCCAGATTTTTCAGACAACTCAAGTCGGTACAAAATTAAATTTAAGTTTTTTGCAAAATCTTACGAATCACTTGCCATTCTATTTGATAAAAAGCACCAATTCTCAATTTCGATCAAGAGCAATACGCAAAGGGCCTTCAGGCCCCTACTCCCAACCTAGCGTCCCGTAAATATGGGCAATTGCTACTCTCTGATCAAATTGCTATAGACAGCATTTTCGAATGCGAGTCATGGCATTGCGTTTTGGCGTTCTCTGGGAGGGTGCCACGAGACGTCTATAAAAAATCAATCAAAAAATATTAAATTTTAGAGAAGTTAGGCAGAAACTAAAACAAAAATTAATAGGTTAAATGGGCAAGTGAACGGATATAAGACAGTATGTAAGAGTCTGTGTATGAGCTAGTTATCTCTTGAACTTTCTCTTTCAGATTGCGGTATTTTTTCCCGGATAAGTTGAAAGTACCGCTGGATGCCTTCAAATATTGAATTTTTGACTTTAGGAATCTAGTTGAATTTTTTCGCGAAACGTATATAATGACGGATGGCTGCCTTGAAACAAAGGGTTTAGACCCAGATGCCACCATTCGGCTGCATTTGTGGTTCGGGCCAGATTACACACAGCATGTTTATAATGGTTTTATAAAGAAATAGGAAAGAGTGTTTTTCGGCCAATCAAATCGCCTTTATTGTAAGTTTTTTGGAAATAGGCCGTCAACTCGACTAATTTCTCGACATCCTTTTGTGAAATATCCAGGTTGGTTGCCACACTGCATATTTTCTCAAATACTAGGTCGAGCCCTATTTCCACTTTTGACTTCGCCACAAAACTAAGGGAAGCAATCATTTTCAGCGCTAAGTCTAGCTCCCTGTTTGATTCGTAATTCTTTGTAACGCCCAATTCGGATATTTTTCTCATAAAGATCTGACAGAGGTGAAAATAGCATCCCTTAATGTCAGTTTCGCAATGAGACTCAAAAGCACTCAACGCCGCAATTTCGAACTCGATCAAAAAAATTTCCCGGCTTACGTAATCGATAAGCGATTGAAGTGCGGTTAGGAACTAGTTATAGGTTGATAAGCACTTATTGCTGAGCCGAGCGTGGACGGAAGGTAGATAAAACCCGCCAATCTGTATGTGTTCATTTTAGAGCTGATAAAAATGACTGGGGCAAATTTTGAAAGTATTGTCTACAAGCGAAAGCCAGGTCCTGTTGTACAACTCAAGTGCATTGAGCTTCTCAGTATCACCAAAAAATCAATAAGCGTTCCTTATTTTTTTTCCGCTCTCAAAAAAACAAAAAGGCTTAAAACGATCCGTTATTTAAAAATGACGGTTATCTTATCTGTGGCAATAGGGGGCTGGGATGTCGATTGTTTACAACTGTTCAAAGTTCGCCTTATCGCGACCGGGAGGGTAAAGACAGTTGGGTTGCTTTGTCGTCCTGCACCAATTGCAAACTAGCTGCAATGATCTGGCTTTTTACTGAGTTTAGTTGACTCCTAACTGTCTCCGTCAATTGCTGAACTAGGTACCGAGCTTCTGAGCGTCCTGCGTTGGGCTCGTAACTATGCTCGCTGCTGTTTGAAATGGTAGCGACCCCAGAAGTTTTTAAAGTTTTCGGACCTTGATATGATCTCCATTTGCTGCAGCGCCAGTTGCAGTTGTCTTCGTATCTCGTTTTTTTTTGGAATTCATGGCCGTAAAGAATAATCAATGCCTGGCTTTTTTGTGAGGTTCCCCAAGTAAAAGAACTCTGTTTTGACTATTAAATGAGTTAACGAGTCAGATAATGAATGCAGAGAGTATACAATTTCATTTGAGTTGCTCTAATTCAGTGCCATATTAACACCAAATTAAACACATGCGGGCACTATATTAATCCTAAAAATGAGTTCAGATTAGAATTAGTTATCTTAGATTTGCATTGTTTGTTGAAAGCGCGAACCTAATTGAGATATCATTAATCTAGATCTTTTTCTGATTACGTTTTGATGATGACTTTTGTTCATAATTCGTGGGATTTTTTAAATTGGCATAAGATATTTTGGTATGGTCGATTTTGTACAAAGGGATCTTTTGTCATGGGAGCTTTTGGTATATATCTTTTGTCCTGATGCAATAATCTCCCCTCTTAGTGACCTACCATATAATGCTTTCCCCAAACATGTATTAAATCTAAAAAATAATTGTCGATAAAATATGCAATACAAACGCGCAAATAAAATTGGTGTTTCATACTTTTATACGGGATTTCATTTGTTTGCTTTTAATTACGCAAAATATTTTTTAAATTGAATTTTTTTCTTTAATATAGTTAATTTTGAACAAATCTAGACTATACTTAAAGTTAACTTATGAAGAATCGATGTTTTCTCCACCTAGATCGATTTGCGGTGGGGGGTCTACGGTTGATTCTTTATTTGCTTTACCTTCCTTCTTGACTGCGCTTTTCCCAGGCCTTTAAAAAATTTGACACTCTTGAACTCTCTTTAAACTAATGGCTAATTTTTATACCGAATACTATCGGCAATCTTGAACTCTTTTCTAATTTTCGGCAAATTTGGGGTGCTGAACAGTTTCGATTAGCGCGTTGTGAATATGGCGAAATAATTCAGCTAAAAAATTAAAACAAATTGATTCCAACACACTAGTTGATCCAAATTATGGAAAAGTTGACGCAAAATACACTTACTTGCACTTTAAATTAAGTGGCGGATGAAGGTTCTGACAGTTGGAGAAGAAGAATCAACGCAAGGAAACAGAACAAAAACAGATTTGTTTTTTGAAGAAAAAACTTCAGCTTTCGAACTTTATAGAAAAAAATGCTTATAAAGCTCTTTGAATTTCACGAATCTTTTTCGATTAACGCTTTTTGGATAAAAACAAGTCAATTTAGGAAAAATGAACCAGTAGGTAAAGATTTCCGTTTCGCTGGGAAATATTATTTAACTTCATTTAGAAAATTAGAAGTCAACCACATTGTTTGTGATCTCTCAACTTTGCGTTTCAATAGTGGAGTTCGCTTTCCTTGTAACAAGAAAAAAGGAAACAAATTCAAAAGAAATCGAAGTCAATCCACGAAAAAAAAATCAATTTTGAGCGTTTCAGATTTTAAGACTTTCTCCTGAATAGAACACAAAAAAAACACCTATATAATAGTACAAACTACGTCCATTAATTTTAAAAAACTATTTATTTTTCGAACTATTTTATCGGGTATTTTATGAAAACGTAGTCAGAGTTTCAAACATAAATTTGGGTTTTTTTTCTGTTATACGGCCCAAAATTGTCGAACTATTCATTGGACTTCTGTTGTTAATGAAATTTTTGATTTTCGTTTGCTGTTACAAACTGTTAATAATTTCAACCAAGCAGAATCAAGAATTTTGATGCAATTTTCACCACGACAAAAAAATCACTTTTTGGCCGTAAAAGAAAAAAAGCATTTGAATTTACTCAAACAACTCTAAGGTCAAGGAAAATTTAGGGCCTCACCCTGATGGAAGCAGTTTTGACAAAACTTTCAATCTCATGGTTCAGTTGCTATGCACATTGCAAATACACTTATTGTCTCATTTTGGGAACATCTGAACTTTGTGCTTGTCTAAAATCATTGTTTGCGCCGTGGATTTATGTTTTTGTCTAGTAAAGGAACCGGTAGAAGAGCTAAATTTCTAACACAGAGGCGATGCTGGGCTTCGCAAACTATCGAGAACACGACTAGCGCGAACATTAGCGAGAAAAAGCAGCTTTATAAGGTGAGATAAAAAAAAGCAGAAATAAGCCTCGAATTAGTTTAAAAAAATACGGCTCCGTGACGAAATCGATCTTGTCACAAATCACAAACTAGCCGTGATTAAAGCAGATAACAGATGTTATGAAATTTCGGCTTTACCTACAAAACACCAGATCTTGAAGCCAAATTTACATCTGAATAAGGTTAATTAGATAAGATTTACTTAATAATTACCTCACAACAGTGAAAATCTGTTGTTATCTTGCATAACAAAATTAATTTTTGGCTTGTTGGAATGATAATCGTATTTTCAGCTTCATGGCCTACCACCGAAATTTCCAGTGCTAAAAATTTAATACATTCCGAAGAGCCTTCTATATTCCGAAGAGCCCATTTCCGAAAGAGAAAGTTCGAAGTACATCTAAAACATAGCCAGCAAAGTTTCAATGAATTTAAGCCGACAAAGAAGAAAATTTTGAATCATTCGAAGTAAAAAAAATGTTGAAAGAATGATTTATCATGAACACTTTTTTCATAAAACTAGCCCAATTCGAGAAACAATTGAATCAATAGCTACTTTTTATTTATTCCGATGGGAAGTTTAAAAATTCAATTCCACTTCCGAAACTTAAAGTCAATTCCGTTTAGTCTTCCAATTTATTAATTACAGAGCGTAATTTACCTTCCTTTTAGCAAATGAATTTGAATTGAACTCAATAAAACCGAAGTCAAACCGCAAAGAAATTTTTAAAAAATCATTAAAAAACAAAAACATCACAACCTATTTAAGTGTTTTCAATAATTTCATTGACACTGAAAAACATAGCTAACAGACATATGGAAAAGAGTCAATGAACGCAGTAACACGAAAAAAAAAGGATTTATTCTCAACAAAAAATTTTTATTTCGCTGGGAAATTCGATAATTACTTCAACGAAACTAGAACATGATCACGTCTTTCGACAAAGGAAATGAACTGAACTCAAAAAAAATCAAAAGTCAAACCGCGAAAAAGAAAGTGGAGCCAGAACAAATTTTAACTTTTACTGAAAAAAAAGAACAAAATCATCGCGACCTATATGAGTCTGAAATACGTTCATCGACTCTTCAAAATGGACTCACATGTAAACACTCACCAAATGTGTCAGAGAAAAAATTACAACCACGATTAAACACCATTTGTTTGGAATCGTCAAACTTACTTAGATTGGAAACCAAAAATGCACATGAAATTGTTAATTCTGTATTTACACTATTTTACACAGCTTTACATCTTTGTACAAGTGCTTTTAAAACAACGAAACTTAATTACAACTCATGGCCTCAATAATCAGCGACTCTGCCTTTGCCATTGAACGATAATAAATGCGATAGACTCAACAAGACAGCTATTTTCGGTTTGGAACGCGAATAAATCTATAACACTACATGCAATTCGTGCGGCATCTTAGTAGTCCAGTTAACTAATTATTCACAATTTTAGTAAGTTAAAGTTCGTATGTTGGTAAGTCTTTTCGCTTTACCTATACATTAAGTGCCATTTGCAGCTTTGTCGGCGGGTTCGCTTCGCCTATGTTCGGTTCTCGGTTAGGCTGTTGTGACATGATATCGGAGTTTATCTGTAACCATAATGGTCAATGAACTTGAATTGCTGAGCCAGTTTGATGGCTTGAGCCATCTGAGCGGACTTTCGACTCTTCCGAGTGAGGACGGCGGAGGAGGCGCGAGATGTCAACAAGAAGCTTTTCTCCTCCAGTTCTTGGCGCCTTTTCTGTTTCAGCCATCTAGAACAAACATCATTTTACATTTCACTAGGAAGAATACTCACTATTACGAACAAGGTAAGCCTTTTAAGAACATACCAAAGTCCACTTTGAATACATTATACGTACTTAAGATCTGATCGATTTATAAAGTAATTAATGATTTGTCCGAGCGGATGCCTTAATTATTTAATTTAATGGTAATGAGACTGTTATCAAACTTCACCAATAATTGTATCTTTTCAATTGCCGCGCCTCCATCCGAAGTAAATCATAGACGCATTATTATCTCGTTCAGTCAGCTCATTAGATACACTCAACCAAGAGCTTAAGATAAAGCTAGGCGCCACAAACTGAAGTTGAACAACTATTCAAAAATATATTATTGGGTTTAAATATAAAGAATTGCATGTACCAAAGTCTGGTTTCATCCAAGTAACATACGACTTCATACCTCAGACACTTGGTCTCTACTTCTGACTAAACGAACTTGAAAATGATAATTCAACTGGTAATCGCAGACTGTCGCAATTTAGCGTTCATTTGGTGTTCATTATGACCTACAGGCTTCCCAAATAAGAGAGACGTTCACAAACTGAAAAGCTCGTACCACTATGGTAGTCAGTATTGATAATAGACAGATTACCTCTGCCTCTAAAGTAGGGGCGGATCTAGCATTTTCACAATGGAAGAGCGAACCTTCAAAACAACACAAAAATTTGGTCATAAGCTTTTTGGTCGACAAATATCTGCACTGCAGGTCAGGTGTTCGATTTTTGCAGGGAAGAAGTTTTTGGCACCATTGTAGATTAGCATCAAGCCCGAAAGAATATCACGTGAATATAGATTGGTATGGACTACTTAGATAATTGGAGTTCAAAAACAGCCAATCGAAGATTGAAACGAGCAATTAACGCAAGTAAACACAAAACATAGCCAATCGAAGATTGGAAAAAAGTAATGGACGTAAGTAAACAAAAAAACACTCACTTTGTTTAAAAAATCTTTCGATTTTCAAAGAAAAAAATAGATGCCTCTTAAAAAAGAGAATTTCTAAAACAATTTATGATTGGCACTTTTTTGATAACATGGACCTAAGTTGAGAAAACTGGATCAATAGGTAAAGTTTTTATTCCGCTGGGAATCAAAAAATAAATTCCACTTTCGAGACCAGAAAAATTTCATGTTTTTTGCGCCATTTCCACGTTTGTATTTGGAGAAAACTATTTACATTACTTTCAGTAGATTAATTTCTTTTGAACTCAAAAAAAGCATATATACCTAAGTGCATTCATAAATGCATCAATATCTATGAATGCACATCTGTAGTTATTGGAGAGTTTTAAGACTTTTTAGGACTGAAAAAAAACAGCAAGACCTACATAAGAGTCTTCGCTACGTCCATTACTCTTAAACAAAATGGATCTCACAAACGCCTTAAGATAAAAAAAAAACTTATGTCAACGAAACTCCACCACGGCAAATGACTAACCCAACTTTTAACCGAATGCAAACATTGAATTTAGCAACAAACTACTCAATTTTTCATGGAGGAAATCCAAAAAACATAACAACACTGCTCTTGCTCGTACATCAGGGCGAAGCTCTAAATGTTGCAACTGCACTCAAAGGCCGTTTTAATAGTTTTTTGTTTGAAAAATTGAAGAAATAGTCGAAGGCAAAATAAAGTTTTTTTTAAATTATCCTTCCACACGCTAATGCAAACTACAAAGGGACGTGTTTAACAAGACTGCTCGTACACCAGGGCATACAAGTTATGTTCCGACTGCTATTCAATCCATATCGAATAGTTTTTGGGAGAAGAAAACATTGAACATCAATAAATTTCGGACAATATCAAAGATCAAGTGCGAAAATTTGAGTCGTACGAAATTAAAATGACCGATTAGCTAGCCTCAATTCAATTTGGAACATTTTTAATCTGCGGGATAATTCGCTGCGCATAAATAATTTGCGTTAGGCTCTCAGCGTTATGAATAAAATTCTTCAAAGCGCGCATAATTTAGTCCAGAATATCTTTTTACATTTGAGCTCAGGAAGTCAATATCTTCGATAAGCAACAAATTTTTTGTTGAAACTGTTTGTTAGATCGCCGAAAATTGACTGATAAAAAACAAAAGCACGCCAGGCATAAGCATTCCATATTCTTCGAAAATCGGAACAAAAATACGACCTAACGACTTGCCTCAATCCAATTTGGAACGCATTAACCCGCCGCTTATGCATGTTATAAAAACGCATATCTCGCGCCTTAATTATCCATTGATTGTGCGTTAATTGAATTTGAGCTGAGAAAAGCAATATCTTTCAGATGGTATAAAACAATCCGTCAAAAATGCTTAGTTAAAAAGTTGAAAAGTGACTGAATAAAAAACCACTTTCTTCGAAGGTCGGAACAAAAGAGGGAGCATCAGGATAACAAGAGGCATTTTCTACATGGCAAAAATGACTTAATGAAACAAACAAATCTAAGACGAATTTGTGAACAAAGTAAGCATGTTTGTTGGTTTAATTTTGATACGCATGCTACTCTGTACTTCGCTTCGTTTTCTGTTTACGATAGTGTTTTAAGAGCAGTTGTGTTATCGGGGACCGTATCTTAAACATAAAGACAAAATACCATAAAAATTGAAGCTTTTGAAAGAAACTTTAATTAAAAATAAGCCAATCAGATTTCACAATACTATTATCCACCAAAATTTTCCGGCTCTCTTCATTTATAAAATATCCGTAATTTGGTTGAAGAGGAGCAAAGAAAAGAACTGTCTAGGTTATTTCTTTAAAATTTTGTTCCAAAATACTAGTAAAAATGAATATATAGTCATGCATCAGCCAATAATGCCGAAGCCTTCTACCAGAATTGTATTTCCACTTTTTCCAGAACCACGACAGGAAATGTTATTCCGGAACTGCAAACTTAGCTACAAAAAGCACGCGATTACGCCTAAATAAAGCTAGGTAAGTTTATGCTCTTTTTTTTTATCTATTTGCTATTTTATACAGCCCCGTTTTATCATTTACACTGGAGGAGGAGTAAAAGAAAAGAGCCATAACTAGTATTGTTAGTTCAAGTGTAATGTACCTCCTGTATGCCTTGTCGCAGTCCTTCTGGCTCCTGGTGGCCACCCACTGGGCCTCCTCCTCCTTCTGGAACTTCATGAACATCCTCTCCTTCTTCTCCTGCTCACTCTTCATCCGCTTCCACTCCTCAAACGCGTCCTTGTCCTTCTACAAAACACAGCACACATCAATCATTATTTGAGAAGTAACTTGAAAAAAGATACATGACAGACAAACAACATGCAATATATGAGCAATTTCACCCAGGGGCGGATCTAGGACTTTCTCGAGGATGGGGGCGGATTTTGAAAAAAAAAAGATTATTTTGTCGACCTTTTGTTTTAGATAGACCAAATTGATTTCCTGAGCTCTCCTAAATCACTATAAAGACCCCATTTTGACCCAATCTTCTGCGCCGCAGGCAAACTTTTGAAAAAACAGGCCAAAAAAGCGTTTTTATGCACTTTTTGAAAAATTTCGACCAAAAAATTGCGTTTTTTCGGCGCGCGCTCCCCCCTCAAAATTAGTATATATTGGCGCCAAAGTCGCCTTCAGAAAAATTTTAGGGTCAGTCCGCCAAAAATGGATATCTCAAAATAGTACAAAGGGGGACCCTTTGGGTCCGCAGGGGGTCGAATCCCTGAGGGGAGGGGCGTCCGCCCCCCCCAAATCCGCTACTGATTTCACTGTCTTAGAAAAGAACAGTGGCCCACTATCTAGCAAAACTATTTTTGCAAAGTATCAAAGCTTCTACAAGATAAAACATAGCCAACTGACAGTTGGAAAGAGCAATGAACGCAAGTAAATAAAAAACACTGACTTTGTTGAAAAACTCTTTTGAATTTCAAAGAAAAAAATAGATGCCCCTTAAGCTCTTCAAATTTCTGCAACAATTTATTATTGGGGCTTATTTGATAACACTAACCCAACTTGAGAAAATTGTATCAATAGGTCAAGTTTTTATTCCGCTGGAAATCTAGAAATTAAATTCAACTTTCAAAATTGTTCACGTTTTTTTTTCGCAACATTTCCACGTTGGAATTTGAAGAGTGCTATTTATGTAACTTTCAGCAGATGTATTTCAGTTGGACTCAAAAAGTGCATATATACCTAAGTGCATTCATAAAAGCATGAATAAGTATGAATGCACATCTGTAGTTATTAGAGCATTTTAAGACTTTCTGAAAAAAAAATTCACCTTTATAGGACCTTTATAAGACCTTTATAAGACTCTTCACTACGCGGCTTCCTGAAAAACGCGGCTGAGATCGAATTAAGTTTTTTTTTCACTTTTTCTAAGCCATAAATACATAAACATAGCCATGAGATAGTTGGATAAGAGTCAATGCGCGCGAAGAAACAGAAAAAAAAACGTTAACTTTAAAATCAAAAAAGATGACCTTCAAGCTATTTGAATTTCAAGAACAAATTATGACAGGCTCAAGAAAAATTATGACTTTTTGATAACAATAATCCCATTTGAGAAAACTGGATTGATTATATATTTGGTAAAGTTTTATTCTGTAGGGAAATCTGAAAGATGTGTGATTTTTTTAATTTTCAGATTTCCCTACAGAATAAAAACTTTACCTAATAAATAATCGACTTAATTATTTTTTGCACACTTAAAAAAGTTCTAAGACATTTCAGATAAACTCAATCTTATTTGAACGAGATCACAGGGGTCTTTATTCTAGCGTATCTTCAAAACAAAAACCGCTTTTTGCCTAAATTCAAGCCATTTTAAATATTGAGCTTCAGAGTTGATTGCTATTAGGTAATCACATTAATTTCATTTCAGTTTTATACACTCGAATACAATTGAAAAAGCAAGTATTTATTTCGAGCTTACCTTTCAAATTGTTTTCAAAGATTTGGGATTGTAAAAAATATCATTTAGTGAATCCTTTTCCGTTATAAGCATGAATTAAACATGTATACCGGACAAACTTGATCCAATTAATAAAAAGAAATGAAAAAAGTCACTCAGAGGTAACTGTCGCTGTGCAAGTAGCACAGAGTTCCGACCACATTATACGCAATTTTTTTTTTAAAAAATAAAATTTTTTCAAGTTTGTTGTTTTTTGTGCTTGGTCTGATGAGAGGAAAAAACAAAAGCTTTAGACACTAGTATATAAGTCATACTCGAGAACAGTTTTCGTCGAAAAATCAAAGTAAAAACAAAAATTGAAATCTTGCATTTTAGCTTTATACCCTTGAAGACAATTGAGATGCAAGCATTTAAAAAAATATCATTTACTGAAACCATTTCCGTTATACCGGACAAACGTTGATCTAATATATAATAAGAAATGAAAAAAGTCAATCATAGATAACTGTCGCTGTACAGGTAGGACTGAAAGTTCCGACCACATTACTACGAAAAACTAAAAAAGAAATAATCATATTTTTTCAAACTTGGTATTTTTGTGATGAGGAAATACAAAAGCTTATAACATTAATATTATAGTCATACTCGACAAAAATTTCATCGAATAAACAAACTAAAAACAAAATTAAACTTAGTTAAATTTTGCATTTTTTGATATTTTGTAACACTTGTTTTGCCAAAAATTCTTCAAAACTTATTTTACGTTGCTGAGACTAAAAATTGTTGTGCTATTATAACTTAAATATTAGCTCGCAATTGGACTGAGCAAAAATTAATCTAAACAGTGAAAAAACATATATGCAAAGAGGCGAACCTGCGCATCGCCAACACTATCAAAAACACAAAATAGCAGCTCTATAAAGTGCAATACGAAAAAGAAAAATAAGCCTCGAATAAGTAAAAAAAATATCTGCGACGTCTTGGATTCCATCCGCGACCTATAGATTATAAGTCTCACGCCTAAACACTCAACCACGAAAGCCTAATATACCACTAACCCTCGCCACAAATAAGCAGAGAACAGGCTACGAATTTTCCAATGCTCTAGATAGTAATTATAGCAAAAGTGCCACAAAAAAATTTCGATTGAACACTTTTACTTGTGGGTTAGGTTGGCAACAAAGAGAGTTCGTGCTAAACACGTAACGCTCGCAAGCTGGCTAGTGTAACACTCCAGCCATTCTGATCATTATTGGCGGCATCTGATTTTGCGCCGAAAAACAAAACAAAAAACAATACCCGAAGACATAATCCTCCCCACTTTCAGTCGTCAGAACAAAAATGGCGAAAAATTGTAACATTTGAGGCGCCGCTAAAACGCATTTTCTGTTTCTTCTTAGAGCAAACTTTTTTACGGCTGAAACTATTTAGTTATTCTAAGGAAAAAAAACATCTGAGCCCAAAACGTCTTCCCTCAATTCACTTTATTCATTAACATTTTTTTCGCGTCTTAGGGGAGAATTTGTAGATGAGGGCAAACAAAACCAAGCATAGAAGTGTTAAGTTAACATAAAACAAAGCAAACAGCATTACTTTATTCAAAAACTTGGTTTGTTAGGGTTCATATTAAACTACGGAAAAATCTAACTTCATTTTCAGCTATCTAAAACAGTTAACAATATAATCCGTCCTAAAGCTAACAAATTCAGTCCAAACCTCGACACCAAACGCGTCATCGTAGATCTAAACCAATGAAATTTAAGTAAAGTTTCTTTAAATAAATTTAAGATTCACGACTCATAAAACTCATCGTGTATTTTAATTTCCTTCAAATTTGGACCACCAGGAGCTTAAGTATTTCACGTAAAAAATACAAAGACGTGGCGACTACTCACATCCTTGTCTTCCTCTTGTTCCTGTAGTTTCTTCACTGCCTCCCGTTGTTTCTTTCGCTGCTCCTTCGCCTCCGCCTCCTTCTCACGACACCAGGCCTAGAAACAGGTTCGGAATCCACTCGATATTTACAGGTGAGTACTGCCCCATACTAAGGCTATATTTAGATTACAAGGATTTGATAATGGTACTGAGCCCCTTTTGCAACAGAGGAGGCATATACTTTAAAATATCCGATCTACTGACCTCAAAGGCTTCCCGGTTCTCCTTTTCCTTCTGCTCCTTTTCATCCTGTTCCTTCCGCCTCTTCTCACTCTCCTCCCTCTGTCTCTGCCTCTGCAACTCCTTCGCCTCCTCGATCATCTCCGCACTCCTGTGACCCCTGAAGACCAAAACATAATCAACAATGTCATTTTTAAATTAATGCAATGTTCAGGTGTCTCACTGATCTCGTAACGCATTCAAATAAAAGTCTCAAACAAGGATAGCCGATTACTTGTTGAAGTTTTTGTTTGTACGCGGTGAGATGAAAATAAAAAATAATACAAACTTGTAAATAAAAATTAGCGAATTAGGCATAATCGACATCATTTTTCAAAAAAAAATAAATTAAAAAAAAGAAATTAAAGATTTTTTTTTCACAATAACTTTCAAATACATTTTGGAAGTTTTTGCTAAGGTAGCGCCAAGATGAGCTGAACTGTTGCCTAGGAAACGCTAAATAGCTTTCATTTTAGTAAAATCAAGTTTTCTTTAGCCAAAAAGTTTTCAGATAACGAATGTTACTCAATCGCTTCACTAAACCGGAAAATTTTCAGTCAACAAGCAGAAAAGGGAATATCATTAATAAATTTTGAGAAGTGAAAAGAAATTCTTATTCTTATTAGACGAAACATTAATTAAACCTATAACGATGCTAAAAATAAGAACGAAAACATAGCCAACAGACAATTGCAATAAGTGTCAAGGAATGAATTCAAGAATACCGAGAAAACAACGACTGAGCACTTGGAAGCATTTTCGAAAAAAAGTATTCATGACTTTGAAGCTCTATGAATTTCAACCGTACTTTTATCAATTTTTTTTAACTAAACACGATCTTTTGTGTACAAATTACTATAGTTATTTCTTAGATCCCTAGCCCGATTGCATTCTAAAGGTTTTTAAAAAATCTTTTTCAGTTTGATACTTAAATTTACAGTACACAGCAAGGCTCAATTCCATGCTTTTGTCACATTTTAAACTGGGTGGTCGGCGTTTTCCACCACCTTTTTGGAAGTGCGCGCGCAGCGCACGAGTTCAGTCGAATTTGAACAAGCAGTCGCGAGTTTTTATTGTATACAATCAAACGGATATGAAAGGAATCTCGCAAAGTTAACTCCATTTTTCCTCGGCTTTTCCATTATGACTTGCTTCCCAAGCTAAGGAAAAAACAAAATTGGAAACTCAATTTTCACTGGGAGAAATCCAACTTTTTTCCGGAAGAATCGAGGAATTAAAAAGAGAATGATATAATTTTAAAAACTTTAAATGGTTTTATTTTGTCTTCTACCATAGCCGAGCGTAAATGTTTTGGTCCCACACGCCGAATGGCCAGATTCAAATCCCGATCGGAGACAAAATTTTATTTTCTCAACTTGCTCATTTTTGAAAGTGAAACATTTCAAAATTTTCAATCTGTTGATTCAGAAGGGTTGGTTGTCGAGTGTATCTGTCGGGCACTCCCAAGCGGAGTAGACAAATACGAATCTTCAATCATCCAAGACAAAAAAAATATTTTGAAAAATTAATAAAAAACGTTCAATTTCAATCGAAATGAAACATTCATATGTCCTAAGCTAAAAAAGATAAACACCAGCGGTTTTCAGTGTCATCACTCATTTGATAAAATGCTTCGAATGGGAAAAAATTGGAGGTTGCTCAGTTTTATTTAAAGAAATTGAATTGCTTCCATTTTTGTCTTCTGTGTTATTGAAATAATTTTATATCCTTTTAAAACATATGTCTCCTATTGACTTCACTGGACATTAACTGTGGTAATACTAGAACCTGATAGTAAAATGGTAAAGCAATTACCCAATATACCAGATGAGTCAGTTCGAGTCCCAGATACGAGTTAAATTTTTTGAACTTTTTTTTACTTTGATCGATTTGAAGTTATTGCATTTTTTTAAATAAAATGGTCTGCAATGTCTTTCAAATGATTGAAATTTCACTTATATATCAGGCTGTTTCGTATTGCCGCAGGGGCTTGAGTGGAACAGCCCTACAGACAATTTTTCATTTAGGATTCGATCGTCAAATACACATGTGGTTCGGTAGTTGAAATTATGAATTTTGTTAAAACTATTTTAAGGTGCTTGGCACAGTTAGTAGAACGGGTGATTGGAAAGCAATACGCTAGGGTTCTTATACAGGTGACGTTCGTATACAATGCACTATATCCAACTGAGATCTGTAAGCAACCGAGTCACTGATCGAGTGCAAACAGCAAAAAGCTAACAACACTAACCACGCCTCGCGCCTGCCCCTGGTTGCCAACAGATCACTGTTTCCAGAAAACTTTTTTAATTCTTCCTTGACATCGGAGCTTGAAAATAACAACTTCTTTCGATAACACCAATATTGATTGAGTACTCACCTATCAATTGCAGAGAGAGCTCGAGGACGTGGAATGGATATAAAACTCCCAGCGTCCATTTGAAAACTCTGTGAGGGTGGTTTCAAGGAACACTTTAAATTAGGATAGAATTAAGTATGTCGAAACTAATGGGATAAGACAAGCAATCGAGAAATGATAACGAGCATTCTAAATAATTTAAACGTTTGAAAATTTCTCGGAAAACTCGCCTTCTATAATAATGCCACGGCAAATCAATTTTACAAGTAGCCAGTAAAGCTTCAAGAAAAGCAGATTGTCAACTTTATCGCAAAAAAATCAAATTTTGAGCAACACTTTTTCGGCCAACTAACAATCAAATTCAAAGAAAATCACATTATTCGATGGAGTATCAATATACATTGAATAATTAATTTTGTAAAAAATTGGATCATCAAAAATAGCAGGACTTGGTACTATCGCAGCTTACTTGCATTGAGACGATCATTAAGGCGCCTTTTAATTTTTTTCAGTCGCGTCTTCGAAGGTTTAACTGGTGATTATGTTCAAAACAAGAGTTATTGTTCTTCAGTAAAAAATGACTCTTTTAGCGGTGCATTTGAAGAAAAGACCTGTTAAAAATTTGCTCATAAAACAGTAACAGATCCTAGACAAAAACAAAGCCACCTGAAATTTATTACTTAACAAGTACAAAACAAGCGCTACAAGACTAATACGCTCCGATTATTTACTTGAAAATTATCAGATAAATTTCACCGAAAGTTTTTTTTTTGGTTCTGACCTTAAAGCTCAATTACGCATGAAACAAATATTGAATCAAACTCATTTCAGTTACCGAAGTTATCAAGAAAAAAGTTAAGCAAAAACTATAAAATAAGTTTAAAAAATTCTTGGATGTTCAAAATTTTTAAGAATTTCCCCTAAAAGGCTTCAACGAGGACCAATTAAAGAAAGTTGATTTCACTCCGCCAAAAAAGCACTTTTTTGTGAACATAGGGCGCAACAGCAGTTCTCCGTGAAGAGCTGTACAGGTCGTATGTTGGTCCCTTCCTTTGTCGATTAATCGTCTCAAAAAAACTTGATAAATTCAGTAAAAAAAATAACACTTAAGACAAGCGAGTTGAATGTAAATTCAATGCAAAATTTATTGATTCCAGTTACACACTGACCTTTGACAGCCTTATTTGTTAAAAAATACATCAAAAAGAATATTTATTGAATGTTCCTTTTCTAAGATTGGCACTTAGACAGTTAAACTAACCAATGGCTCGCACTCAAATTTTACTACTATCTCCTGGTAAATATGAACAGCTTTATAAGATCAGTTTATCACGGCCGGATTTCTACCCATCTTATGGTATCGAGCAAAGAATAACCGCTTCTAAAGAACTAAATCAAGGATTAAGCGGATTTTGTACCTGGTAGTGAAATTCACCCCTTTGCAAATAGAATTCCCAGAAACGTTTTTTTTTTACGAGTCCGAAGATTTAGATCGAACAGATATTTTCTACTCTGCAAGACCATGTAATCGGGGAAAATAGCCTCTTCGACCATATGATAAATTTCAAAAGCGCTCTCCCTCAAAATTAGTTTATTTAGACGCCAAAAGATCCTCTTTAACAAACTTTATGGTTGGTTAGCCAAAAATATGTGTACAAAATTTATACGAAAATGACCATTGGAAAAAAAACGAGAACCAAAACCTATATATTTGCCGATTAACAAATAACTGCAAATCTAAAATAGCTAACAAAATCGAAAGTATTTATGAGCACAAAGATATTGTGAAAAACACACGGATTTTTTTCATCATCCAGTTTCATAGAACAAATTACTAATTTCACCTTAAAGTCTCTTACTTTTTTAAATACTTTTATGACAGACATTTTGCAACATATCGAGTCAGCTAAGAAACATGCATCAATCGAGAATTTGTTCATTCAGCTACGCATTATTAAAACATCCATTTTTGACAGTAAACGTCGAGCGCAATTTTTCCAGCCATTTTTATTTTCACATTCAGAGCAATTTTTATTTGAGTTGGTATTTTTAACCCTGTGTTTTATTTAAAAAATCAAATCAAGTCAATTCAGACTATTTCTTTAAAATATACAAAAAAACACCCGACTTTTTCAAAGTCAACTGAGTCTCTTACTTCATTGAAGTCAACTCAGACTAAATATATATAAAAAAAAACGATATAATTAGGAGAAACTCCGCTTTTTCGTTCATTAGTTTTTAATACATTTTGACTGAACTGGCACATGGAAACAATCAAGGTTCTCAAAAACCCGAGCTCAAGTGCAATTTAAAATCTTTAAAATATGCAATGCTAATTTTCAACAGAGAAGAAGCTGCGCTTCGCAAACACTAGAGAGAAAACGACAAAAAGCCGCTTTATAACCTGCGACCTCGAGAATTGGCGCTTCACGCACTGCCCTCTCGGTCACGAACGCTTAACAATCGTCAAACACAGGTCAAATAAAGCAGCAACTTATTCTAATAAATTGCCAATGCGATGCGGCACCAAATACAAACAGACACAATTTTGCAAGTAATAACTTAGAATATTACAAACTGAAGGCATCCACACTAAATTTGTATGTAGTAAATTGGAAAGCACAGTATGCATATCTGCATCAAGTCACATTATCTATACATTTACATTTGAAAAATTTCGAAATATATTGAGTAAGAAAGTTTCTGAAATCGAGTTTTTATTATGGTTGTTGTTTGAAACAAATAGCTTTTTTCGGATCATTGATGAACTAAAAATGCATCAACTTTGTTAACTTATTACTATTCGAATGTTAAAGCACATGCAATCAAAAAGCCATAAAGGTGCCACCAATGTTTGCGACTTAGATTAGAAAAAAAAGAGTCGATCTATTACACTTAAGTTCGCTAGTGTAAACATAGCCAAGAGGCAGCTGGAAAAGAGTCAATGAACGCAAGTAAACAGGAAAAAACACACTTTTGAAAAAATCTCTTTTGCATTTTTTGGGGAAAAATAGTTAGCCTTAAAGCTATTTGAATTTCAAGAACAATTTGTGATTGACTATTTTTTGGATAAAATTGACATAATTTGAGAAAACTGGATCAATAGGTTTGAAATTTTATTTCGCTGGGAAATCTGATATCAAAATTCTATTCTCGAAATTAGAAGTCGAGCACGTTTTTCATGACGTTTACACTGTTGCTGTTCGATAGAAGAATTTGCTTTCCTTTTAACAAAAGAAATGAACTGAACTGAAAAAGAAATCAAAATTCAAACAGCAAAAAGGTAAATTTGAGACTGAAAAAAAATTTCCTTCCAAAACACGAGCATCAATTTTATGGTGTAACGGGTGGTTTTACAAGGCTGACTATTAAGACCAAATATGTTTGCCATGGCCTTATAGTCCGTATGCCAATTTTCATAATCGAATAATGTGAACAAATTTTTCATTTGAATAATTTTGCAGATGGGGGGGGGGGGGGAGCTAAAAAATCATCCCGACCTATATAAGAGTCTGAACTACGTTCATCTACTCAGAAAAAAGTGCAATACAAAAAACTTGACAAAAAAGTACAGGTACCTAGATAGTTTGTCGTGTCCTGCTGATTTGGGCCTCGGCGGAGGGTTTTGATACGAGACAGGCGGAAGTCCGTTTCGCAAAGCTGCTTTCGAATTCGGCGCTGACATAGGTCTGCTTTTCCTCTCTGATTTATCCTCCCGTTGAAATTCATTTGATCTTGAATTTGTGTGTTCCGTTTCACCTGGACAATAACAAATATTCAAATCAGCGAATACGATTTTCTTCTAATTGCATTGATTATTGCATGGACTAATTGCATTGATTATTGCATGGACTAATTGCATTGATTATTGCATGGACTAATTGCATTGATTATTGCATGGACTAATTGCATTGATTATTGCATGGACTAATTGCATTGATTATTGCATGGACTAATTGCATTGATTATTGCATGGACTAATTGCATTGATTATTGCATGGACTAATTGCATTGATTAGCCGCCGGCTGATAAATATAGTTTTAAATATTTACAGTTCTTCACGTATTTTGGGTCTGTGAAAACGTCAGCCCATTTTGAGAAGAATTTTAAAACGTGTTAATTATTGCAAAAACTTTTCACCTCAAAAAACCCTCAACATTGTTAAGGAAAGAGCTTATACTTATGAATTTTGAGCAATTTCTTGCACTGACTGAAGAAACATATACAACGCGCCATTTAATTTAGCGCAAAAGTTTATTGGCCTTGGAATATACATAAACATTGTTGAATTTAAGACAGCATGTAATTTCTGAAACCTTTTAATGGCAATCGCCTTTCCTGAAAAAAAAAATCACTAATTGACTCTTTACTTCATTCAGCTTTACTCGACTTCTGTTTTCTTTTTTTTAAAAATCCGAAGCACGGCTCAAATGGCTTTAATATGCCACCGAACATGACACTCTACGAGTTCTGTTTGAAGTAGTCAAAGTGCATTGAGAAAAAAAAAACAAATAAGCCATTCGGGAAGTGGCCGGAGCAATTAAAAGAAACAAAGAGACTGCAAAACAATAGCCTGAGCAAATGTATTTTTGCTGAAATTACTGTGTTTTTCTCTAACGGACCTGAGTTGGACTTCTTGCTGTCATTCAGACCGAGGATATCTTCGATGGATGATTCTGAGGCTGTTTTAGATTTGGAGGTGTCTTCGTTTTCGCCAAACAGCTCGAACTTTCCCTCCTTCTCAACCAGAACACAGCCTGCTTCCTGCTCTTTTGTCTCGTCGGAGGTCGCATTTGGAGCAACTCCGTCTTGAGTAGTCGTCGAGTCCGGAGACATCGGCGGGTTGTCGGGAGGCGCCTCGAAGTCGATCAGGTTTTCTTTGAACTTGATGCGCTTCTCTCGTTCTTGTTGAGGCTGAGGTTGTTTGGCTAGATCTTGATTTGCCTAGAAAAAAGTTTTAGTGGGACCAGTTTTCATTCATTTTGAGAACGAGACGAATGTATTGAGACGCCATTCAAAACAAAAAAAAGTTCTACGCGTAAGGAAGAGGAAGATAAATTTTCACTTCATAGAACGTACCTCAACTCTTTGTCTCCCAATGAATCATACTTTCAAAAAAAAACAATAACACATTGCTTGATCATGCACAAAGAAAACGGACCCGCTCCAAAACTAGACAACTAAGAGCAGGCTATTGTATTAGACAAATGGTGCTTTTGGAAATTGTGGTAGTGGGCTTAATAGATTTTATTTCAGAGAGCGATGCGGTCTTTCACCCTAATAATAACCATAGTTCGCGCCATATTTTGAGACGATTTATTCACAAGGGAGAGGGAAAAAATACGAACTGTTTCGCTCTCTATGGTAACACTGTTGCGCCCCTGGTTTAGAAGAATATGCGTTTTTTCGTTCAATTTTCTGGGCTGGGTAATGTTGCAAAACCGTCGGATCATAGTGAGCTTCGAATATCTACGGCTTCGAAGCAGACTTAGCCACTTTTCCACCGCTTCCCTTGTAATCATCCTTACCTTCTGAATTCGCTGTTCGATGTCGTTCTCTGACTCCATTGTGTTGTTGTTGCTGTTGTGCACTGCGAATGCAGACATCTCCGGGTTGTGGTCGTGATCCTCCTGAGATCCAGACGACTGCGACTGGGGACTTCCCTCCTTTTCCAACACTGACATAGCTTTCAGCTGGTCTTGTGACATTTGGGGTTCTTCACTCTATGCAATCAAAATGATTTTAGAAATCTTTCGATTTTTTTTGATCAAGACATGCGAAGCAAAAAGCCTTAAATGCTCATACTTAGGCGGACTCAATACCCACAATTAAAAACCACATTTTCTCCAAAATTCTATGACAATAGTCTAAAAGAGAAAAGAAAATTATTACAGAAAAAGCTGGTCTGTTAGCCAGCAACAAATTTGACGAAAGCTATAACGCAAACTATACAAAGTTATTTTTGTGATCTTGAAAAAATTGCGTCAATGGAGCTCCAAAAGCTTAAGCCAACAGCGTTATATTAACATTGAACTTAAATTTTACTATGCGGGAATTGAGCACAAAAAAAGGTTAGACTAATCCGAAATGGGAGCTGTCAGTCCTTAAAAATTAGAGTAAAAAGTAACGGAAAGTCCTGTTTTAAAGTCTGGAATGAACAGAGCAAACTTTCATACGACCTAGTTTGATGTAACGCAGCCGGTGAAAAATATGTCAAAACTTGACAGGAAGAAAAACAGCTACAACAAAAAACGAAAGCAATCCTTAGTTGGTAACCTAAATTATGTATCAGCATAAATATTGCAATTATTTGTTAAATTCGATTCTTCAGGCAATGAGTTTCGGCATTTCCACGGCTATTGTCAAAGACACGATGATCCAGTGAATCTGTTTGATAAATTATTTTGATAAAGAAGTTTCATGTTCCGATTTGATTGATAACGCTTGAAAATCCGTAGCGTAAAAAAATCGGCCTTCATTCATAACTAGTGTTACATAGTTTTGAATAAAGGCCAATTTTTTCACGCTACGGATTTTCAAGCGTTATCAAATCGGGACATGGGACTTCTTTATCAAAACAAATTATCAAACAGATTCACTGGATCATCGTGTTGACAACAGCCGTGGAAATGCTGAAATTTTATTTCCTGAAAAATCTAATTTAATAAATAGATAGATAATTTATGTTTCCAACTAACGATTACTTTCGTTTTTTTGTAGCTGTTTTTCTTCCTGTCAAGTTTTGACATATATTTTTTGCCGGCTTCGTAGCATCAAACTAGGTCGTATAGAAATTTGCTAAAAGGGCAAAACTAAAACTATGAGATGCGGGTTTTGGATGAGACAAAACTAGACTTCTTTTTAATTACGAGATTCTAATGCCGATCGTTTCTTTTAGCTTTTTTATCTAGGTCACTGATTTTTACAGATAGAATCGAGCATTTTCTGAATTGAAGTGAAAGAGCTCTATAATTCTTTCATACCTTATAATGAAACATAGACAACAGACAGTAGGAAACTGTCAATGAACAACAGGAACCAAAAAAATTTGAATGAAATTTTCATGAAATAAAAAACATTTCGAAATTCCAAAAAATTACTAGTACATCACCTTGAAAATCTTTCAAATTCCAGCAAATTTTAGGATTTTCTTTGAGAAAACTGGGATACTTTATTCCGCTGGGAAATCTTCAAAATAACATCCTTTTTCGAAACAAGAGTCATTCAAATTTTGACCCTAATTGCAATTTGATTATTTGAGAGCGTAAATTGGCTTCCTTTTAGGAAATAATGTAGAATTAAACTCAAGAAACAAATCACACGAAACTGAGAAATCAAAAATAAGCGTGTACAACTTTTCAAACGTTTTCCTCAAAAAAATTAACGACCTATGTAAGTGTTTCACTACGGTTATAGACAATTAACAAAAATATTCGGTAGCTGCGTAAGTAGCAGAAAACTTTCCGATCACACAAACTATCACCAGTTCTTTTTAAATTTTACGACCAAACAAGGTCTAAATGAAGAAAGAAAAATCTAAACTTCAGAAATTCATTTTTTTCAGAAAAATCAATTACACATAGGCGAAGCTTCACTTCGCACACACTAGCGAAAACACGACAAAAAGCAGCTCTATAAAAGGCTAAAAAAAGTAGAAATAAGTCTCGATTTGGTAAAAATTCGGCTATGTCCCGGGTTCGATCTGCGACCTACTACGACCTAGAGATTATGAGTCTCACGCACTAACCAGTCAGCCACGCACACTTAAGACATCACAAACAATAGTCACAAATAAATCAGAGAACAGATAGTTTGAAATTTCTAATGGTAGATCGTGATTATAGCAAAAAAGTCAGTGAATAAGTGAACACTTTCCACTTTCAATTAACACTTTTGTTTGCGAGTTAAGTTAGAAAAAATCAGGCTGATCGCAAGTGCAAAAAATATGAAATTACTCTTTAGTTTTTTGGAGAAAAAGGCAATTCAATCAGGAAAAAAGCTGCAAAAATGGATTTGTAATTGATACATACGCCCTATACTGCAAATTCGTAGTACAGACTCATCGACCCTTCCGTGTAATTTAGTCTGAAACACGAAAGTGTAGACCACTTTTTTATCGACATTGCGTCAATTTTTGATATTTTTTGGAATAAAGGTAACAGCTAAAAGGTCTTAAATGAGATAAGACAAGTGACCCTAGACAAGGAGTTTTTTTGAGGTAGTCAAAATTGGCCGGATAAAAGCACCCTACGCCATAGTTCCACAAACACGCTTTCAGTGACGTGGTCAAATTACTACAACTCCACAGCGTCAAATCTTACAAGACTTTTGGGACAATATTTACAATAAAAAGGATTTCGCTATGTAACAAAAGCTTCGCCCTTATCCAAAATCCTAGCGCAACATCATTATTATAAGGTTTTCTATACTTCGGAAGAGATAAAAGGGGCGGACGCTTCCTTCTCAGGGACCCTTTGGTACTTTTTAAGAAATCTATTTTCGGGCGACCGACCCTAAAATTTTTCTAAAGGCGCCAAGATATACTAACTTTGAGGGGGAGCGCGCGCCAAAAAAACGCGATTTTTTTTGTCAACATTTTCCAAAAAGTTTTTTCAAAAATGTTTTTTTTTTCAAAAATTTGCCTGCGGTGCAGAAAATTTGGCCAAAACACCGTCTTTTTAGTGCATTAGGAGAACTCGAAAAATCAATTTGGTCGACCTAAAAAAAGTCCCAAAACTTTTTGCCGCCCCCCCCCCCCCCGAGAGAAAATCCTAGATCCGCCCCTGGTTTTACGTATAATGCCAACAGGAATTCAAGCCTTCTCTTGTCCATTTTTTCAAGTTTATTACTTTTGTTGATTAAACTTGATTAATTGCTCATTTTCCATGATCATCAATTCATCTGATTATACGCTTTTTCAATCACTTTTTTATTCTTGTTTTTTCTTTCTGTTACAAAGATTCATTCTATCCTCGGGCTGGTTAACTAAAAAAAATAAAAATAATAATTTTGTACCTCGTATGGTTGAGGGCTTGAAGGCGCTTCTACTTCCATCGGAGATCAAAAGATCTGAAAACCATCATCGACATTTATTAAAATTTATGATCAAATCAGACAAAAACACAGAACCGGAATCATAAATCACGCCATAGCTTCTTCTGCTATCAAGATTTTGATTTAGAGCTTACCAACATGCCATGACGCAGATATCATAAGAAATTGAATGAATGATAGAGAACATAAAAATTGAATGAATGATCATTTGACCTTTCGGATCTCTTGCAAACGAGGTGAATTCGTTACAAAACCTTCCGCATTTTAAAAACTAAACATGGTCTTATTGGCGCCTCTGAAGTGCATCTCCGTTTCAAAATTGAAGCGCTCTGGCAAGGTAAAATAGGATCATTTCAGCTTTCATTTTAAATTCTGCGTATCGAGCTGCTACTGAAATGATTCTATTTTACCAGCGGGATCTAAGCAAACAATTTCCAGTAAAATCAGACATTAGGTAGCTGGCGGGTTTTTTCCATGCGTTTGTCAGAGGTCAACGAAGTTGATCAAATTTGGGGAAATTTGACCGATTTGCTACCTCGCATTAAAATCAATGCATATGAGCTTATGTAGCGGCTACATAAGCTCGCAGATGTCCCGTCAGCTTTTCGTGCTGATAATATGATACATAGGCCCTCTTTAACTATTCCCCATTTTAAAAAGGGGAGATTCATTAACAGGTACAAAATCCTGGGCTCTTTAACGGGCATTTTCCCACATTTCAAATTATCAACAGATGGGGTGAAATACAACCAAACTCTCATATGCTTAAACGTAGAATTAAATCTTAATAGGGATGGCAAATCGTTACCAGGTACCATATGACGGGACAGGGGTCGGGAAAAATAATTGATTGGAACAAAAATAATTTTTTTTAAATGAGAATGATTTTTGGGACAAGTACAATTATTGTAGAACAAAGAATTATTATTAACACTTATTGGCCACTAATTTTTCAAGAAGGAAGTTAAGATACGCACCACATTGCTCTTGACATTTGCGAACATAAGGGAAGCGTCCAATGCCAAAACTAAATCCCTAGGGAAACCAGCCCGCTACTTTCAATTTTATGCAAATATTTTAAATCAAGCGGGTTAATTTTAGTCTAGAAAAAAAGCAATCGGTCAATTACATTATCTTCTCGGGCGCCAATCCAAAGCTTTGTTGCGCAATTGTTATATTATTCAGAAATTGCATCATCAAAGAGCGAAATTTCCAGTAAAATCAGACATTACCTAACTGGCGGGTTTTTTCCATGCGTTGCCAGAGGTCAGAGAAGTTGATCAAATTTGGGGAAATTTGACCGATTTGCTACCTCGTATTAAAATCAATGCATCTGATTAAAAGCTTGACAAAATTTGATCCTTCTCAACCAAAAGAAATTTTATAACTAGTCAAAACTATTTAGCTTCAAGTAGACAGTCCACGGATTTAAAAGTTTTAAGGGAAAACATATTGAAAACACACACACACACACAAACGTGTTTTTTATAATTTTTTTCAGCAGCTATCAAACTGTTTGTTTGACACTAGTTGAACATGTTTTTATTTGCTCCTTCAACTAGAATTTCTGCAAGTAAAAATTTTTGCAACTGCAATTTTCGTTTTATCGAGCTAACTGGGTGCAAAGCGAATAAGACCAATAACAGTAATACGACAGGACAAATAATTTGGAATAAGGTTGTAGTCTTCTGTATGATTGGAAGTTTCAAAAACATCCGGCATGCATTTTTAAACTTAGTTGGCGAGTTAAAAACCCGGGTTTTGTTTCTTATTATTCAATTGTCTTCTTAAATTCCATATACAAGCCAGATGAGCCGCTTACTGCGCAAGTAATACAGAATATTCTGACTACTGTTATCATTAGCACAAAAGAAAAAAATTAGATTATTCGTTCTAACTTTTTGATAGAATATTTTTTTGGATTTTTACACATTTTTATAAGAGTGATTTTGTTCGAATTTTTACAACATTATATCTGGGCATTCGCTCTTTTAGACACGAGGGATTCCCCGCATAGGAATTTCAGTTCAAAGCTAGAAACAAATGCTACAAAACAGCGTGATCTAAGCAAACATCTCCATTTTTCACATTTTTCAAACGAACTATAAAACAACTAGTAAAAGCGATACAATTGGAAACAACTGGAAAACAACTGTACAATTAAAATACATCATTTTAAGTCTCGCAACTCAAACAAAAAAACTATTATATCGCCAAGAACCATCTGCCAACTAACTCGTTTCCTTTATTGTACAAAATCTAATTTCCTAGTCCAACACTGAATATTTGAATCCAAACAAACTTTGTTAGAATTCAGATCTAAGCGGTCACAAATTTGCATTATATTGCAAAATTAGGGAGAAATGTTTAAATCGCTTAACAACATTATTTAAGCAAAATTACCAGCTCGGTATTTAAAATCCAGAGATCATTAAACTTCCCTGCAGTGACGGTTGGAGAACCAACGGCGATGTAGCGAATCTTTTTTCAAGCGCAACAAGTTTCAAAAGCCTGATTTTTAAACCTGACTTTGATCGATTTTGACATCAATTCCTGTAAGAAATCTATCAAATTTTTTCAGGGAAAATTGTCCTGTCGGGTTACGTCACGCTTCTCAACTCAATTTGTCCTTACTTGCGTAACATCTTCGTACAACAGAACAACTTGCCGCAACTAGTCAGCCCAACATACTGTACGTATTATTCTACACCAAAGTTACTTCAGTCTTTGAATACCATATTCATCTTACAATATTCCTAGTTTGTACAACCCACATTTTAAATGTCTAAATTGTGACCATTTGAGCGGTCTATTTTTATTCGGGTTTACTACTTCTCACATAATTAGCTCTCCCGAATTTGCATAAAAGGCACTTTTATCTGCAATCCAGTTAATTTTAGACTAAAATGAAATTCTCACAATTGACCCCTACAAACCAATATCACAGGACTTTTATTGAGCCAGAAAAGAGGCTTCCAAATTTTATCTAACGGCACCTATAATTGGAAATTTTGTTCTAATCTACCAAACTATTCAATTAGAAACTGTGAATGTCCTTAATTTCCTTATAACACAGGATATGATAAATTCACTTGAGCAAACTATAGATACTCTTCTGACAAAAACACATTCCGAGCAAGGGCAGATTTCATAATCGAACTTTAAACTATTGAACAAGTACAAAATTGCAATTTCTTCACCTTATCTCGTCAAAACGACAGTTCACGTCACGACGCTTCTTCGTTTAGTTCAATTATCAGATTAAGATAGACTGAGCCTACAAAATCAAACATATCCGAGGTTATGACCAAGAGCATCAATGCACGTCAAATTTTACATTGATTGCAAATCAGATTTTCCTGTGAAACTGGCTAAGTTATCGCTGAAGTAACAACTTATTTTTGAGTTTCAATCATCAAACAGAGTAGCAAACAAGGTTACATAACTGATAACGAAAATCATTCAAGTATTTTGGCCCTCTTTGGCAAACACTTCAGATACCTGGCATACCATTTACAGACAAACTATTCACCCTTATTTTTCACTTAACTTCAGTTAATATAAAAAACTATAGATTGAACTCGCGAACTCGTGTTCAAAATGGGGAAGGAGGAGAGAAATGAAACATCCGTTGATAATACAGACAGCAACAGTATGGATTCCAGTTCCTCGAAACCGGTCAACCCCCTTTCGGCCAGTATCGCTCTGGACCATCTCGATGCGGCCCCACCTCGGGTCCAATACGCGAGTACGACCGAGTTCCTTTTCAGCTGCATTTCCTATAGCATAGGCCTCGGGAACCTTTGGCGGTTCCCCTACAAGTGCTACAACAACGGGGGAGGAGCTTTTCTCATACCCTACATTCTGTGCCTAATCTTCGCCGGCATGCCACTTTACTTGCTGGAACTAACCATGGGCCAATTTACCAGCAAGGGACCGGTTGGAGTATGGCATGTTTCTTACCTCTTCGTCGGAATTGGCTATGCTGCTATTACCATCGCACTCTTCTGTTCTGTTTACTATAACGTGATAGTCGCCTGGGTTCTTAGGTATCTCTACTTGTCAATTAAGGCACTCATTTTCAATGACGATGTTCCGTGGTCGAAATGCGGCCTCACCAATTCAAGCGATGTCCCTGCGTAAGTAGAACGGTCTTTACTTCTCAATTACTCTGGTATTTCATTCTAACTACTCTAAGCCATTACTTTTCGATTTCAAACATTCAAACGAACCGAAACCACAAATTTGAAAAGACAGCCTTTTATACAGGTTTAAAACCAATTTCAAAAAAAAATTAGCGCATACACAATTAGAACATCAGTCATCATTGCAAACAAATGTCATTTCAAACAAATTTTAGGAGAAAACACTTCCATAAAATTAGAGATAATTTTCATTATGGTATAGGAATTAAGCATTTCGGAATAACGGTACGAGGAACTTAGCATAATAGTAAGGCGTTTACTTTGACATTGTCCGATTGTGTATTCGTTACCCTGCCATGGCAATGATAGTGAGCGCTTCCTTGAGCTCTAGGTGCAAAAAAACTTCGCTCAAAAAAATAAGAAATAAATCAGTCTGGAAAATGGAAATCAGAGAAACGGGCTATGCTTAGACAAACCTGATGGCCTCTGCGAATGCTCAATTGGTAATAATTATCAATTTTTTTAAAAATTCAATTGGATAAGATTAGAAACAAATAAAAAACAAACTGCTAAAATGAGAGAAAATTCTATCACAGTTCTCATTCTCTCACCTCCACCTCCCCCAACCATGATTCCGATAATCCCGCAACCCATATTAGTCAAAATGGGCCCAAAAAGTCTCCCCACACCATATTTTCCTCAAGTAGCTTCGTGAAGAAGTAAAAACAATAATCATGGCCAGACAATCGTTAATGAAATTCCTACATTTGACATTATTTTTTGCTAAAACTAGCCCAATTTGAGAAAACGCTGTAAAAAAAAATATTCAATCAGCCGAAAATAAACGAGCAAAAAAACAGGTTCATTAACTTTTTTCAATAGACAGCGTCGTTCGATCAAATTTTGATTTTATAAAAATAGTTTTTGAAAATCAACAGACAAACCGCGAAACGGAAGAAAAACCGGCTTGAAAATTTCCAGTTCATTTTAAAAAGAACAGAGCGAATTTTTAAGAATTAAACTCTTACAACTAAGCTTTTTGATTTTAAGTCCCATTTAGTGCAAGCTGAGTGAAAAGTCAATCAAACTCAAAAAAACCAATAAACAGCGACATTTAACTCATAAATTACAACAAATTAAACGTAAAAGCCGAAAACTCGTTCATTATACAATAAGTCACAAATCATTTTTTTTTCAATCTTTAGTTTTTTGTGAGTTGGAAGAATATTACCTAAAATTTCCAACAATACTTTGCAAAAAGATTTAAATGAAGAAGATTTATTTCTCAACACAATTTTTCAGAAAAACTTCAATTTCGAAAGTTTAAAATATCAGATTTGATTTTCTGGTTACATTTTTTTCCAATCAGGGAAAAATTCCACGCAAAATCAGATGGAATCGAGCGACTTGTTATCTTTAATGATTTTCAGTCGTGATTTGATCGAGACGAAAAGCCTACCCAAAAAGTTTTTTTGTGCCCACAAAAATTGCCTCAAGTATTTTTACGACCAATTTGGTGCACAGACAACGTTTTTCTAAAGATAAAAATTTGAAATCCAAATCATGAGAAGCACGGTTTTGATACGATACCACGCTGGCCTCCGTACATTTATCCTTTGATAATACTATAATCGGGTGGAAAATAAATACACTACGCCATAGTTCGCACCCACTTTTTCGAAATGATCAGGCCAAAGAATAATTTATAAGGTTAGCAAAATTTTCGAATAAATCTGAGCTTTTGCACATGAACGAGCTGCGCGTCACGGATTCGTTCTGCGACCTAGAGAATATGAGTCTTAAGCATTAACTACTCAGCGACAGACGCTCAATTAAAAACACACAAGCCACAAATAAAGCAGAGGAGAGACGCTATAAAATATCCAATGTTACAGATTGTGATTAGGGTACAGATGCTACCAAATAAGTGAACACTTTAAATGAACATATTTATTTGCGAGTTAGGTTGGAAAAAAGGTTTGTTGTAATACACTACGCTCACTATTGTAAATAGGAAGTAACAAACAGTTTAAAGCTAGGAAAGCAAATTGCATCGAAAGAAAAACTGAAGGCGAATCAATACCAGAAGCAAACCCAGAACCAATTTTCACCACTTTGAATTTAGGTCGAAAAGTTTCTAAAATCTCAATAAAAAAAAATTACTACAAGAAAGTACTGATATACATACAAATTCATGGATATTAAATTTATAAACTACAGGAGTAAAAAAACTCGCATGTACGATGAAAACTGCTAATACCACAAGAAAAATCCCCGATGTGGCAATAAGCCGACAGAACAAAAGACAAAGACCGACCTTTAGGGTTTCCCGGTTTTTTTGTAACTTTCATACATACTGAAACAAAACAAGGTCCGGCCATAAGGTATAAGGCAACCGCATTACCTCTACTTAAAGTGAGAAGAAATATCATGCTAAGGTTCACAAATAAAGAAAATGAGAAAAGCAATTAAAACTTGAAAAAAAAGTTGTTTACGGGAAAAAAGTCGTAGTTCCCGATTACAAGACACTTGCTCTCGCAAGTGTAAAAGCCATTGAAAAAAAATGGACACAGCAGTTATCCTCAATGCTTATGTTAAAAGGGCATATAAATCATGTTGACTGATCATCTTAGAAAAATGAAACGGCAGAACTAACAAAACAAATAGAATTAAATTAGACTAGCATTTAACGCACCTCTGGTGCTTCGAATTATTTAAACCGCTCATGAAAAACCGCATTTATTGGAAAAAAATCTGCAAACTTTTAGTGTTTTCTGACTTCACCCAATTACAGGGTTGGTAATTTCAAACTTTTTAATTTTTTTAATTCCCATTTTGAAAAACCATAAAAGCGTCATCTTAAAACCATAAAAACTTAATGGGCCTCTGGAGAAATTTGGAGGCCAGATTTGCAACCACTGAGAGCCCCTGATAGCACCCTACGATACGGTTGGGAATTTCAATTTATGTGAATTTTTTTAAACTTAAGATTCCCGACAAAAATTGATTAAATCATTAAAAAAAAAACGTCTTAGCTCGGAAACTAAATGGATTTGAGCATTCATATTTAGAGGCAAGATTTGCCACGCCTGGGTATACGCTGACAATAAGGTTTTGTCTTCATCAAGTTGGTAGTTTCAAATTTTGCTAATTTCTTGGAGAAATTTTGAAAAAACATCAAAAAAACGTCACATCTCGGAAACTAAAAGCATTTGAGCAGTCGTATTTGAGTAGTCGCATGTGGTAAGATTTGTAATTCCTGAGATTGCCCTGAGAGCACTGAACTACAAAGTTAGGAATTTCAAATTACGAAAAAAAAAACTAATTTATGTTTTCTAAAAAAATTTTGAAAAAATCACAGAAAAAAGTCATATCTCGAAAACTACAAAGAATTGGGCGGTCAGATTTAGAGGCAAGATTTGCAACACCTTAGAGTACCCTGACAGCACCCAACCACAGGGTTGGGAATTTCAAACTTTGAAAAAAAAATTAATCTCGAAAACTACAAAGAATTGAGCAGTCATATTTGGAGGCGAGATTCGGAATCCTTGAGAGTACTCTGGCAGAACCCAACTACAGGGTTGGGAATTTCAGCTTTTGCGAAAAAAAACTATAACTTTTCTGAAATTTTTTTGAAAAAGCACAAAAAAACGTCATATCTCGAAAACTAAAAGGATTTGAACAGTCATATTTGGAGGCAAGATTTGCAACACCTTAGAGTACGCTGACAGCACCCAACTACAGGGTTGGGAATTTCAGCTTTTGCGAAAAAAAATTAATAAAGTTTTCTTAAATTTTTTGAAAAAATCACAAAAACGTCATATCTCGAAAACTACAAAGACTTGAGCAGTCATAATTGAAGGCAAGATTCGCAATCCTTGAAAGTACTCTAACAGTACCTAACTACAAAGTTGGGAATTTCAAATTTTGAAAAAAAAATTAATTTGTTTTCTAAAAAATTTTTGAAAAAATCACACAAAAAAGTCATATCTCGAAAACTACAAAGAATTGGGCGGTCAGATTTAGAGGCAAGATTCGGAATCCTTGAGAGTACTCTGGCAGAACCCAAATACAGGGTTGGGAATTTCAGCTTTTGCGAAAAAAAATTAATAAAGTTTTCTTAAATTTTTTGAAAAAATCACAAAAACGTCATATCTCGAAAACTACAAAGACTTGAGCAGTCATAATTGGAGGCAAGATTCGCAATCCTTGAAAGTACTCTAACACTACCTAACTACAAAGTTGGGAATTTCAAATTTTGAAAAAAAAATAATTTATGTTTTCTAAAAAAATTTTGAAAAAATCACACAAAAAAGTCATATCTCGAAAACTACAAAGAATTGGGCGGTCAGATTTAGAGGCAAGATTCGGAATCCTTGAGAGTACTCTGGCAGAACCCAAATACAGGGTTGGGAATTTCAGCTTTAGCGAAAAAAAATTAAAAGTTTTCTTAAATTTTTTGAAAAAATCACAAAAACGTCATATCTCGAAAACTACAAAGACTTGAGCAGTCATAATTGGAGGCAAGATTCGCAATCCTTGAAAGTACTCTAACAGTACCTAATTACAAAGTTGAGAATTTCAAATTTTGAAAAAAAAATTAATTTATGTTTTCTAAAAAAATTTTGAAAAAATCACACAAAAAAGTCATATCTCGAAAACTACAAAGAATTGGGCGGTCAGATTTAGAGGCAAGATTCGGAATCCTTGAGAGTACTCTGGCAGAACCCAAATACAGGGTTGGGAAGTTCAGCTTTTGCGAAAAAAACAATAATTTAAGTTTTCTGAATATTTTTGAAAAAATCACAAAAAACGTCATATCTCGAAAACTACAAGGATTGAACAGTCACATTTGGAGGCAAGATTTGCAACTCCTTGGAGTACCCTGACAGCACCTAACTACAGGGTTGGGAATTTCAAATTTTGAAAAATAATTAATTTGAGTTTCTTGAAAATTTTTGAAAAAAATCACAAAAAAACGTCATATCTCGAAAACTACAAGGATTTGAGCAATTTGAGCAGTCATGATTGGAGGCAAGATTCGCAATCCTTAACAGTACTTACAGTACCCAACAACAGGGTTAAGAACTTCAAGTTTTTAAAATCATTTCGTAATTTGAAAAAATCACCAAACTTTGAAAAAATCACCAAAAAATCACCACTCTCGCAATTGTAATAATACTAATACAACAAAAGTGAATCAGAGTTAATGCTAATGCAGGAAAAGTAAAAACTTGTAATGATATTGCTTGAAAAGTGCCGCCGAACCTTTTTGTTAACGGGATGACAAACTAATTATCTGAAAAAGCCGATGTTCCAACACTAATTGCAAGCGTGATAAAAAAAACGAATTTTTCCGTCGCCGATGAAACGTAGGGTTGGCAAAACTAACAGACCGTTTTTTTGTTAGTTTCTGCTCAGATTGTTTTAATATACCTTGTAACGCGTTTATGTCACTAACACATAGTGAGGCGCTATTGATTATTAAAATCGCGCAAATGAAACATGCTCTATAGTTGCTTATTTTTATTATTTTCACTATAACAACTGTTTAGTTTTTAGAGTCTTTCTATTCATTCAATTTTTTAATTAGAGAGTTGCTGAAAGAGTGCAAGACTGACCCCAGCGGATACTTCTGGAAATACGAGATCCTGGAGCAAACCGATTCAATGGGAGATTTAGGCGGAATCAACTGGACTATCTTTGGATATCTCATCTTGGCCTGGATTCTGGTGTGTTTGATCACCCTCAAAGGAGTGAAGAGTTCCGGTAAAGTTACGTATTTCACTGCTACATTTCCTTATTTGGTAATTGCAGCACTTCTAGTTCGTGGCTTGACGCTAGAAGGAGCTTGGGATGGGATCCGATACTACATAGAGCCAGATTTTAATAAACTCCTGGAACCCGAAGTTTGGAGCAGCGCTGCCACTCAGATCTTCTACTCGCTTGGAATTTCTTTTGGAACCCTCATAACCCTAGCAAGCTTCAGTCCTTTTGACAACAAAGTAGTCAGAATGACCCTAACGGTTACTACCATCAACTGTTTGACCAGTATCGTAGGCGGCTTCGTTATTTTTGGAGTCATTGGCAATCTTGCCTTCGTTACTGGAAAACCTATCGATGCAGTTGTTGATTCTGGTCCAGGTCTGGCCTTTGTGGTCTACCCTGACGCCCTGTCCAAAATGCCTGGCGCAGCAATTTGGTCAGTTCTTTTCTTTTTCATGCTGCTCAATCTTGGCTTCGGCAGTCAGATTGCTCAAGTGGAAACGTGTATCACCGCCATTACCGATAAATTTCCCAAGCTGCAAGAAAAACGAGCTCTGATGACAATAATTGCAGGGTTCGTCATGTTTTTAGCTGGCATAATTATGACGACTCGCAGTGGAGTTCATTGGTTGAATCTCTTTGACACTTATTCTTGCTCTTACAGTCTGTTTGTCATTTGCATTGTCGAAATCGTCGCTATAATCTTTATATTTGGGGGCAAACGAGTTTTAACCCAAATCGAAATTATGACAGACATTAAGCCCTGGAAATGGTGGCTATTCACGTGGTATGTTAGCGCTCCTGTATCGATAGTACTGATATTCCTTCTCAACATTGTTTTCTATACGCCACTTAAGTACTCTAACGGAGAACCGATTGAGGGATGGGCTCAGGCAATCGGATGGATTACCGCCATGTGTTCCATCATTTTCATTCCCATAATGATGGTCAGAGTTTACTTTAGTATCGACGGACCTTTCACTGAGCGAATTCGTTTATTAATCGAACCTGATGAACTTTACCGACCTATTTCGCTGACGAATTTGAAAAAACTCAACTTGAGATTGAAGAAAATAGAAACGGAAACAGTTGTTCCCTATACACCACATCAGCGAAGAGAATCATTAGCGTTCAAGGAAGGAAACTTACTTGGCATACCCGGCGCTCAGATACCCAATACAATCCAAGAAGAACAATAATATCATGGCAACAAAATAAACATTGAGATCGTATTTTACTCAGACAACTTTTAATCTTCGATTAAAACGAATTGACTTATGTTAAGATTTCTAGGCAGTATTCTATTTAAAGGCATTCAAACTAAATTCATTGACCGTTATTAACATTTTTCTTGAATAAACTTAAAATAAAACCATGAAAAAACTTTAATTTGACAAAACAGGACAAAACTAAGCAGATCCCTGGTCAGAAACACGGCTATAGCTTTGAAATGGTACATTCAAGAACATGCTTCAGTATATTTTTAATTTGCAAACTTAATTCGAGAGTTTCTTCAGCCAATCATTCGTGAAAACCCCTCTTTCACAACCTGAAGTTAGAAAATTGTGCAATTTGCTTCATATTAACAGTATAGTAATTACAATTAATATCAAAACAACGATAGCCGGTTACGGTGTAAGTAGCACAGAATGTTACCACCATTATCTCAAAACTACAAAAAAAAAATTCTTGAACTAAGGCATAATTGACATTCATTATAAATAGGCAAAGTGGGTAAGTTTTGTAGAAAAATGAAAAAAAATCGTAAAAGTACAAAAAAAAGGTTTTTCGAAGTTTTTGATTTCCAAAAGCAAAAAAAGCTATTAGAAGCCTGCTCTACAAAAGTACAGAAAAAGATTTTTCGAAGTTTTTGATTTCCAAAAGCAAAAAAAGCTATTAGAAGCCTGCTCGCTCACATTATTTGCTCGAAATTACACCAAAACTCATAAATTTCATAAAGGTTTTTCTCGACACTGACTAGAAAAACAAAAAAAAACTTTCTTCAGGTTTTTTTTGGAAAGTTCGATTACAAAATGGCGCTAGAATACTCCAAAAAGTAATTTTACACAATTTACTAAAACAAAAACTAATTTTATGGCTTAATTAAGCTATTGTAACATTTTCAGCTATTAAAATAAGCTAATGTAAGCTTCTTCGCTCGCTTTACTCGCTCGAAATTAGACATCATTGTCGAAAAAATTTCAATAACGTTTTCTCGTCAATACAATTTTTTTTCCGAAAATTTTAATGTCGCTTGAATCATGACAGAAAGGCTTTTAATTTGATATATCACTCGACACTTTCCGATAAATGTAGCTATTGAAATAAGCTATTGTAAGCATGCGTGCTCGCTTTACTTGAAAAATTTCAAACGGTTTTTTCTCGACATTGAGAAAATTTATCGGAAATTTTTCAACCCTGTACGAATTACGACTGACAGGATTTTTATCTGATCTATCACTCAAACCAATCCGATAATTGTTTGCGGTACCTGATTTTGCGTGGAAAACGAAAAAAAAACAAAAAAAAACAGACACACCCAATACAAAGTTCCTCCACACTTTCAAAGTTCTGAACAAAAAATTTATTAGTTTAAATTTTTCGCAAGGTATTTGAAATGCCTCAATTATACACACTATATATTTCAAATCATCTTACAAGAAATTAGTGTAGTGTACACGAGACCTATTTATCATAGCATCTTTTTCAAAGGCCCTGCCTATCATAGTAGTACCAATCAAATAAGGCAGAAAAAAAAACAGATAATTTAAGCGACCAAAAAATTATAGCTGTAGAATTGGAGCTGTATTTAGAGCTGTAAAATTAGAATTGGAGCTGTAAACAGAAAATTAGCACTTTGGACGAGCAAAAACCTCAAATTGCTCAAAAACTAAACTCGTAAATTGACACAGTCTTGATTAATTCAAAATGCTGTGGCAAAAATTGGCAAACTTTCCATGAACTTAATATTTATGAATATTTGTTCAGGAAAAAACAGAAGAATCTGGCCATTTATGACAAGAAAAGAGTCTGAAAATCAGTAACAAAAATTTTAATACTCGCAAGTACCAGATCAAATAAGCCAGGTGAGGCTGTAGCAAATCAAATATTTTGGTGAACTTCAAGGTTCTGGACGATTTCAATCAACGCAGATCCAGTTGGCTTGTTTGATGAAACTGCTTATTTTTTCATAGCAAAATGCATTGGAATTAATTGACAAGCGCTTTTTTTCAAACCAATATGACACTCCAAACCTCAAATGATACGCATATACATTAAAAATATATATAATAATAATAATATAATAACAAAGGATTTAGGAATATAATCCAAGGGTTCGCATAAAAGCCAGGCATTGCATTGTTCAAAGTTTAGTTTTCAGTTATAAGTGTAAGTTTCTTCAGGTCTCTACAGTTGTTGCATTCGCATAAAATGCGCCAAGTGCATGTGTCTGATTCGTTGTAGCGCGTTTTGAAAAACTTTGTGTACATTCCTAGAAGTCCTAGAATTCTGGGTCAAACAATATGTCATATTTGAAGTATTCGTTGTACAGAATAGCAAGACGACATGTCCGAAACCAGAAATCCGACACGCACTTCTTCAGACGCATTTGTTTGCAGACGAAATTTCGTGTCATTTGAGCTCTTCGGTTTCCAACGTCAGTGATGCTTACATGGCTTCTCCAGTCGATGTCAACTTTTGCAGCTAGTATTTTAGCAAACAGCAGTCCAACATGAAGCTCTTGGTATAGAGACAAAGGAAGGATGTTAGGTTTCACGAGTTTGTCTTTATAGGAGATATGGCTAATGCCTGTCATGAAAATCCACGAGATCGCTTTCCGCTGCACTTTTTCTATGATTCCTAAGTCACCTTTTGATGGTTTCCAGATAGCTGAACCGTACCACAGAATTAGCACAACGTAACAGATATATGCGTTTTTTCTGGTCGCGAAATTCGCCTTTGAGAGATTCCTTTTGAGTGCGAAGAGAGCGTTTAAGGTTTTTTCAGCCCTCTTTTTTGCATGTTGCGTCCAAGAGAGCGTGTCGGTTATCAGGATGCCCAGATCTTTCCTTACTTCAGTGGTTTCGAAGCTGTAACTGGGGAGTGCAATCGTAGCTGATCCTTTGATGCAGAGGACTTTACTTTTCGTCAAGTTCATTGACATGCAGTTTTCCTCGCACCACCTCCAAAGTCTCCTAACATCTATGTTGAGAGTTAAAAGGTTGTCTCCAAGAATTTTGTAGTCGTCTGCATAACCAATATATATATATTAAGCGAAAGTTTTTCAATGGAAAATGCTTGGTGATTCGAAGTCAAGGATGGCCTCCAAAAATCGAGAAAATTGCACCAGGTTAATTCAAAATGCTGTGGCAAAAATTGGCAAACTTTCCGTGAACTTAATATTTGTGAATATTTGTTTACGAAAAAACAGAAGAATCTGGCCATTTATGACAAGAAAAGAGTCTGAAAATCAGTAACAAAAATTTTAATACTCGCAAGTACCAGATCAAATAAGCCAGGTGAGGCTGTAGCAAATCAAATATTTTGGTGAACTTCAAGGTTCTGGACGATTTCAATCAACGCAGATCCAGTTGGCTTGTTTGATGAAACTGCTTATTTTTTCATAGCAAAATGCATTGGAATTAATTGACAAGCGCTTTTTTTCAAACCAATATGACACTCCAAACCTCAAATGATACGCATATACATTAAAAATATATATAATAATAATAATATAATAACAAAGGATTTAGGAATATAATCCAAGGGTTCGCATAAAAGCCAGTCATTGCATTGTTCAAAGTTTAGTTTTCAGTTATAAGTGTAAGTTTCTTCAGGTCTCTACAGTTGTTGCATTCGCATAAATTGCGCCAAGTGCATGTGTCTGATTCGTTGTAGCGAGTTTTGAAAAACTTTGTGTACATTCCTAGAAGTCCTAGAATTCTGGGTCAAACAATATGTCATATTTGAAGTATTCGTTGTACAGATTAGCAAGATGACATGCCCGAAACCAGAAATCCGACTCGCACTTCTTCAGACGCATTTGTTTGCAGACGAAATTTCGTGTCATTTGAGCTCTTCGGTTTCCAAAGTCAGTGATGCTTACATGGCTTCTCCAGTCGATGTCAACTTTTGCAGCTAGTATTTTTGCAAACAGTAGTCCAACATGAAGCTCTTGGTATAGAGACAAAGGAAGAATGTTAAGTTTCACGAGTTTGTCTTTATAGGAGATATGGCTAATGCCTGTCATGAAAATCCACGAGATCTGTTTCCGCTGCACTTTTTCTATGATTCCTAAGTCACCTTTTGATGGTTTCCAGATAGCTGAACCGTAGCACAGAATTGTCACAACGTAACAGATATATGCGTTTTTTCTGGTCGCGAAATTCGCCTTCGAGAGATTCCTTTTGAGTACGAAGAGAGTTTTTTCAGCCCTCTTTTTTGCGTGTTGCGTCCGAGAGAGCGTGTCGGTTATCAGGATGCCCAGATCTTACATTACTTCAGTGGTTTCGAAGCTGTAACTAGGGAGTGCAATCGTAGCTGATCCTTTGATGCAGAGGACTTTACTTTTTGTCAGGTTCATTGACATGCAGTTTTCCTCGCACCACCTCCAAAGTCTCCTAACAACTATGTTGAGAGTTAAAAGGTTGTCTCCAATAATGTTGTAGTCGTCTGCATAACCAATATATATATTAAGCGAAAGTTTTTCAATGGAAAATGCTTGGTGATTCGAAGTCAAGGATGGCCTCCAAAAATCGAGAAAATTGCACCAGGTGCTCTAAAGCGACTGAAAGTACTGGCTGATGAGCGAAGGTTGCGAGAAGTGCACTCTAATGTATGGTGTACACTTTTTAGATGTTCAAGTTTCTGTAGAATTCCAAAAACGGGAAATTTTTATGTAACGGATGCCTTGATAATGGAACCTCCCATTGCGCATTAAGTGGATCTGTGCGAGCTATCGCAAAAAATTGCTGAATTCGAAGAGTCTCTCGAGATCATGAAAAATAAGTCATCACCCACGCCTCCTCTTCAAACTAAAGCTAAGAGTTCTAGTTTTGATTAATCGGATTATGACATATCAAGATATACGATTTAGTGGTATACCGGATTAAAAAACCAAAAATGAAAAAGAAAAATTCTAAAACTCAAAAGTTTGGGCGTGAAGAAAAAATGGTGAGCGATACAAAAAATTGTCTCGGTGTCAATGTAGGAAAAACTTCTTTTCACAGACTTGGAAAGTCGAATGCAGCAAATAGCAGGCAAATTTTAGTCAAGTTTTGCAACATCAGTACAACTGATAAACTATTGCACGTGCAGCAATGCTCAAAAAGCAATTAACTTTACTCCAGTACAACTAAGTTTTCACGGCTT